GACCTAGATCTCTCTAGGTGTTCTTTACCTGAATTATTATGAAATAAAATACAGTACTGAATGAAAACTCAAAATACACATAATACATCATAAGGTAGAAATAGGAAACACCGGACAAGACAAAAACTGCAAAGTTGAAAATTATTCTGAAAAAATTAATCAGGAGAGAGTTAATAAATTTTGATAATGAATCTTGCATCCACACCCCAAAGATTATTTTATGTGAAAGTATTGGTTAGATTTATACATAAACTGCAGAAAAAAAATTTGAGGGGAACTGAACTGAGAATTAAGCATGTGAAATAGCTACTATACAGTAAAAACTCAATAAGCAATGGAAACGTGAAATTAAGTTTGGCAGCTTTTAGACATTTATAACAGCAGAACATTCTGCATAACAAAGAATTAAAAAGATATGTATAATGAAGTATGTTATAAACCTCCTGGAAATCAAGTAACACCTGCCACAAGAAAAGCCCAACCAGCCATACAGACAGTTGATAAGAACTGCTTTAGAACTCTCCATCTATACACAATATTCACTGTCTCCCAAATTCTATCACAGTATTAGACAGAACATACTATGCCTTCTGCCCAGGGATTAGATCCATTTTACATAACTACAAAGAAGAGAATTTTGAAGAATGATACAGGGTTGATGAGCACTGTGATAGCCTGCTTAGTATTTGTCTTTGCAGGGTTTATTTTAGCAGAAGTGTCATTAACTCTGAGGTCTGATTCTCCTGCTGGCCTTTGGTATCTTCTGTTTTTCATTTGACTTTCAGACTCTGTCAGCAAATTCTCCTAACAAGTACAAGCCTCTATTGTTTGACACTAGCACGCTCAAGTCCACTTATCATAAATGTTTTTAAAAACAGAAGGGAACATGACTGTTTTTCATTACTGTCATACTGTGTAGAGAAAAACAGCTTATTGTAGAAAAAAAAAAAAAAACATAGCCTCCACAGAGCATGTGAAAATTGTCATTTACACAACCAGTATGCATTAATTGGCTCTCACTTAGGGAAGGTACACAAGCTTCCTCTGTGAAGATAACAGACATTCAGTTTTTTCGTCAGCCTTTTAAAAGTGGAAGAAGAGAAGGTTAGGAGTAGCCTGTCACTTCCTGCCTTTGAGCACTGAATTATTAATTTACACAAAATACTACATTAAAAATGCCATTAAAACAACCTAAAGCCTCACACTGATAGTTTAAAGGGGAAGTTAAGGCTTCAGTAGTCTGCCAAAACCAATACATGCTCTTTAAACATAATTTAATTTTCTTTCTCATAGTTTTTTTTGTCACTTCCCGATTATCAAAGGTGTCTGTTGAGGTCTGTGTTTGGCAGACGGTTCATCCTACCCTCTGTGCCAGCAATTGAGCAAAAATTATTTGGAGAACTCACAGAACACTTGCAAGGCTGCAGGCCAATGACTTCCACAAAAGTCTAACTCCACTGCAAGAACAGGTAGCCAGAAAGCCAGGCAGCAAACAGTGAAGGCAAAATATCTTATCCACAGAGAGAACTCTTACCCAAACATCTCTGAAGACAGGAAAATTAATAGGGAATATTACTAATGCAAATTTTTGCACTGAAGTATTCTGTCAAATGTGGGCCCCTGTGAAATTCTCCCATGTTTTAACTACATACACTTTGATTTTCTGCACTGGAAAGCAAGTGAGTTATTTTCTTCAGTCTACTGCAATACATTAAACACAGAACTAATTCTAGAAAGGATAACCTCAAGATTTCAAGACCTTATCAACCATGTACATTGCATTCACATCTCCAGTATTTCTAAGAGAAACAGATGTAATTTGGAACATCCTTTTTGAAAGAATTCATATTTTAGCCTGACATGAATACATGTAAAAGTTGACTGTTCCTCTGAGAGGTACTTGCAGTCAAGCAGGCAATCACAGTCCCAGGAAAGGACATATCTACTTATTTTCCTTAAACAAAGACACAAGTTAAAGTGAAGACAATTTTTACACCAACATAGGATTAGCTCATTTCAGGGTGAGATGTCAAATATTCATTAAAAAAAATAAGATATTTGGCTGAGATAAAAAATAGCTGCAAAATTGGATTACATTAGCAAAAGATTTGTTTCATCCAAATGAGAGAGGAGCACAGCATTCAAAAATACACAGAGAACAAAGAGATGAGGGTACTGGTGTTCATATCCCTGTATGCTCTAGTCTGGTTAATGAAAATTACCAAATGTAGGCATTGTAACTAGCTGCCTAAACCTGATGGTGAGTCAAACCCAGGTGCACTGCTTCAGTTTGATCCTTCCTTTCCTTGGGCAGCCTGTAAATCAGCAACAGAAGGCATTCAGAGGCAGACTAAAAATACCAATGTAATGCTAAGAGGAAGGACAGACAGATAAAAAAGAAACCCTTTGCATCCAGCAGGAGTATCTTTACTGCTACACTATGACAGTAAACCAGAAAAACTGCATCACCTCCGCTTTACCAGCATCTGTTAATTTTGGTTAAAATCCAGCTCTGTCTTCTCTATTTGTTGTCGCTGTTAAAATTATCTAAAGTGAAAACAAGTTATTTATTTTCATGGCAACCCTCCCCACGTTTTCAATCTGAGCTTTTTTTTTCTTTTAATTACAGAAACTAACCCAAAAATTAGTTCTTCGCATATTCCTATCATTGACTGGTTCAATTTTCTCCTCTTCATTAAGAAGTCTCTACCACCATATTGAAAGTTTACCCAACAATTTTAAGTAAGGGCCTTCATTCAGCGTGAGCCACTGAATGGTGATGTCTCTTGCATTCTACATTCAACTGCTTTTAAGCACTAAGAGCATGGCTTTTTTAGATCATATTGTGTTTCAGTATTTTTCAGTAAATAAATATTATTGTGTATATTTATTTTTAATATTATACATATGCTTAGCTAACAAACTGCCATTACAATTCAAGTAATTTTTGAGCTGAAGTAACTTTAACGTTTCTGAAATCATACCTGAAAATAAAATGAAACATATTTAGTTTTCTTTGACTGAAATAAACCAGTCTATATTTTTGATCATAATGGCAAGAGATACGAATTGAACATAAAAAATGTTATCAGATGCAAAGAAATCACCTGAAATTTGATGGGCAGTGAACTCTGAAAGCCTCATGACCTTTTATTTGTTTAAAGCAGATAGTTACAGACAGTGCTAGGACACTCTGTCTGTAGACTTCAAGAATAAAGAACTGGCATTATGTCAGCTGACTGCACATCTGTCAGAGCAAGAAATTAGGCAAAATGCAGTTCTTTAATCCACATGAAAATTGTTCCTGCAACCACAACTTTGAGAACTTCCAGAGTACCTATGTTTTGAATCAAGATTTAAGTATACCCAAAGAAGGCAGCTATCTTTACTTTAGGGACGTACCTTTATTTACTCAAGGCTAAAGCTTTGAAAATAACAAAAAAGCAAAAAAGTGTGGTTTGAACATGGTGAAAAGATATTTGAACTGGGCAGTCTATCAGCAATTTCAATAGCACTGTGCATACTTAAGCAAGTGCTCCTTTTGACTCTCATAAGGCTTTCAATATCAAAATGTAAAAGGAAAAAGTGCACACAGATTCCTGATATCTCTTTCTTTCCCTTTTGTAGTTTCAGCCTTTTAGTGCTCCCACTGCTGGAGGCAGACAAAAAGATGAGTTTTATCTATTACGCTGAGATGTCTTTGAGAACGAGTAAAGATTTAATCATTCTCCAGACCTGCAGGCAGAACCCAGCTTTTCTGCTCATCAATACCCTGCCCTTTACAGGCACTGAAAGGACGTGTCAAGTTCTCCTTCACCAACACGTCTAGAGTGCATTGTAAAGCATTTGAGTCACACTGTTTGTTAAGAGATGAAATATAAACTTGAGAAAAATGTGTGTCAGCAGTGCTGCTACAAAGGACTGAATAACTCTTATTTCATGTGACAAACTGAGAATTCAGAATGTCTCTGAATTTGTAAAATCGATTTTGTTTTGTTTGGCACAAATACAAGATGAGTGGGGGCTGACCCCATATAGGCTGATGACTTGAATTTTGTCCAAAGAAAGAAAGCACACGTTACGGAAAACTGACTCAGGGAAAATGAAAGATGTAAGATTTTTATAATTCTGAGCTTCCCCAGGGCTTAATCAGGAAATCACATCCCATCAACATTCACTGAATGCTGAACACACTCGGCTTCTGGATATATAATATATAAATTTACAGACCATCTTTTCAGTCCCATGACCAGTATCTAGGTCATTCTTTGCTAGGAATTAGAACCATCATCACATGGTTTAAGAAGGCTCTCAGCACTAAATTACTCTTCCATACTTGAGGAAGGGATTCTATCAGCAGAATCTGCAGTAAAGCCAACAGAGAATATTCATGCCTGATTTCTCCTGATTTAAGTATTCAAATGAAAATGGAAGACCACTCCTTTTCTCTGGAAGGTGCTTTTCAAAAGCAGAGTGTTCGGTGCATAAGTCAGGTACATTGCTTTTGAACAGAGACAAGGTCAAGCTTTAGCAATTGCACAGTCTGTTATGGTTTGGTTCCTACCCTCACTCTCTCCACCCTCTTCAGATGTCATACAATACATTAATGAGTTTTGATAAGGGAGAAAGATATTTGATTAGCAAAATTCTTTACCAAGTATGCTCTCTTCCCTCTCCCACCACATTTCTCAAGGCAGAGTGGTTTGACATCAGGGGTCACCATGTGACCTCCAGAAAAACACAGTTTAACTTTTAGTGATCACAAAACCAAGGGTATGGTAGGCAGACTTTTTATGAATGAAGAATCCAACTGATTGTCTGAAGATCCAGTACAAGTCTTAAGAAATTGATTCTGGTTTAAAAGTCTTGCATTAATCTACAGGTTATTCAATGATCATTCTTTTCCCAGTAACCTGTGTAAGTAGTGAACAAAAAACCCACCAAAAACCCCAGCTTCCAGTTCTTAATTTGTGCCAATGAGTGGAAAAAATGAAACTCACTTGCAGGAAATTTTTGTGCGATCCACCACCATGGTCCACTGCTGCTGATTCGTTGAAACCTCAATGTAGTAGCTGTAGCTCCGATCATCACAGTCCCAAAGCAGCAACCTACGTATGAAGAAGTTGTTGAGTGCCAAGTTAAACAAACGTCAAACCAACCTTCAAATTTTTTCAGCCCTTTATTTTCTCCACTTAATCCTTTCTAAATGTAACTGTTTCTTTTGGAATGTATCTCTAACACTCAGCGAAGTCTTTACTGTTTCTGCCATCCTGAACTACTGTGTCTCTATTCTTATTATCCTGATGTCAGTAATAGACTTACAGGCTTATAATAACCAATTTATGAACATTAATCTATTACATTCATCCAATTACTTTTAATTTATTTGTCACGTGGCATTGCCTTCTTTAGACATGATGCAAAGATCTGTTTCAAAAAGTCAGTTTAGGAGAGGTCAGAAAAAAAGAACTGGATGATTAGAAGGATTATGCTGCCTTAATTGTATTTTCTTGGTTTTGGCAAATATATGAGAAATATATTTAAAAAAGGAAAGTAAGCAAATGGGAATTCTCAGTCCTGGTTCATCAGAAGACGAGGAAAAGAAGGCGATAAATTATTAAACAAAGTGCTAAAAAGGCAGAAGAAAAAGAAAGACAATAGGTCTAACAAACACACATTCCTTCAGGAAGGGTACTAAGTAATACTGAATAGACTTTGATTTCCATACTTGTCTTACAGAGAGGAAGACCTAAAGCATCAGGGATGACATTTAGCTCAAGTGTTATCAAAACCCACATCTGGAAAATGTATCTTCTTCACTTTCCTTTGTATGGGTATTATCTCCCTGCTGTAAGAGATATTTGGCCCAGAACTGGACACAGTATTCAAGCCTCCCAACACCAAGTACAGAGGGAAACAACCTAGTTCAGCCCTTTCTTTTCAGCTTTTGAAATCTCAGTGTTAAAAATGGAGTTAGGTCTAAGGGCCAAGCAGATTCAAAACAAATTCCCTAGATGTTGAATCTAGCTCATTATATTATCAGAAATAATATGCTCTCTTAAGTAGCTTTAAGAAGATAAATTAAAACACTTTCAACAAAAGTCTTTTAGCACATATGAATACTATCTATTTACAAATTAAAAGCTTCAGAGTTTACTTAGTAAAAAATAGGGTTGCCTGTGGCAATATGATGGACTTAAAAAGAAATCCCACACCCCAAAACATAACCACCGAACTTCAACACCTCTCCTTCATCTGATTATCCTCATTCTGCTTTTCTTCAGCTGAAAGGTCTCCAAAGAATGAAGTGCATTTTCTTAGAAAAAATTTACTGATTACAATCCTCTATTTGGTAACTGCTACTTATCAACAGGTCCTGAATTGATTTAACATTTATATTTAAACCAAGTCTTCTAAATGATAAAAAGAAGAAAAAATCAAAAACATTCATAAATTTGTTTTCCTTCAAAAAGGCTATCAAAATATAGCTAATTATACTTTTCAATAGAATCCTTTTATCATGGTGACTCATTGCTATTTCCTTGATCCATGTTTTCAAAGCTATGATCAAGAGTTTGAATATCAGAAACACACTGGTGACTGTAATTTCAACTAACAATACCAGAATTAAAACACAGCTGGCATGGTTTTAAAGCAAAAGGCTAACAGGGCCTATTTGTTCCTTTAAAAAATATGTACTTGCTCTCTCCCAAATCAACCTAATCATAAAAAAAAAAAATCACATGGTTTAGAATTAATTCACTCATTATTTGGTTTGCAATAAAGTCAGTGGCATCTTTCCCAAAGTGACTTTGCATGAACGCTACATGTAGATTTCTTTCAAACTTCTGAAAGAAAATAAAATTTATTTATTCTCTAGTAGCTTTTTGGGGAAGACTCAGTATGTAGACTGACAGTAGAACTTATTTGGAATTTACTCTGCTTGAAATGCCTTTCTGGATAAGCAGTGAAAAACTTTCAGGTGATTTTTCAACTAGAATATTCACCAGTGCACTCTGAGCACAAAGGCCACTTTTTATGCCAGGTACAGCAATCTTTGCAACACATTACAGGCAAATTACCATGCTGAACTTTTTTAGCAAAGCTATGTTTTGCTAAGATGAATATTAAATGACAGGAAGGAGAATATTCCACTTGAAAAGTCAGAACTATACCCATTGGAAATGCATCTGTTTATAGCAAAATTGCCCATGTTCTTAGGACTTTCCATCTTGAAATAAAAAGCTAAATTAGCTCATTAGTGTATTTTGCCCTCAGGATTTAGAAAGAAAAATCGAGTGAAGATTTATCCAGTTTAAGCTTTCCAACAGTGTGAGATGTAAACATATTTCATTTTTGGGTATTTGGAGTCTAAGTCTGTGAATCATTTAATATGACATTGCTGTTTATATCACATGTTCACAATGCCTCACTTTATAAAATAAAAGCTTTCCAAATACGAATAAAACTTTGCAGGCATAGGAAACATTGCAGGCATATTATTATATTGGAAAATTATTATTTTGGCTACCTGTTATAAAAAAAAAAAAGCCATAGTATTTTTTTTTTTAACAGTATGTCCCTAAATGTCATGTGTTGTCCTGTGATTGATTGTTCTATGTTTCTAAAAATATTTTTTGTGTCTGTGCTTACTTTTTATTTTTAGATTTCTATTAAAAAGATTGTCACTGTTTAGTTCAGACTGCTATCTAACTGCATATACTAAAGGTGTTAGCAGAATACCAAATAATATTAGTCGTGCACCTGACAGGATGACACCTGCTTCCTGAATACTCTAAGTCACTACAGAGAACATACAGATAAATATTTGACAGTACTGTGTTCATAAATCACTTGCATACTTGTAGAAACCCGAAAGACAGAAATTAAAACATGAGGTAGCAACACATCCTGAAAGAGAAAGAAGAAGAAAGAAAACCCTCCCACATGGAAGGAGGTTTTTTGTACAATTGTTGTTGCATTTTTGCCTCTGGTTGTCTATAACTCCAATATGTCTAAAGTCTTTCAATTTTCTGCAGATATTTTTGTTCCAGTAGTTACCCTGCAAGAAATCAGTCTTTCTTCCTACAAAGATCCTACAAAGGAGACAAAATTTTTGCAGATTTTTTAAGTGTTCCCATGATCATTCATTCTGAGTCATGATTTTACTCTCAAGTCAGGCAAGCACAGAAAATGAGCACCAAAGAAAGAAAAACTTCTTAAGTGGAAGTGGTATGGAAAATCAGAAAGCATAAGAGATTTATATGACAATGATGGTATATGCAAACAGAAAACACATTCGAGTTCACTGATGCTGTTTGTTAATTTAAGGATTATTCTGAATATGGAAAGCTATCATTTTCATACTAGCATTAAAGTCTTCAAAAACATTAAAGTTGGATAAGTAGTTCATGTACTGTTCTAAAGACAAAAGGTATTTCTATTTATTCTAACATGAAAATCACTATGGCATAGAATTCCATCTCTACCAAAGAGTGCACTAATAGCACTAGATTTCTATTCTAGATAAATGCAGGGAGAATTAGACAGAAAGTTATTGTGACATGACAGCTGCTGCAATATTCACATTTCAGCCTTAAAAATTAAACAATGTTTACTATGTTACATACACTAGTTGCTGTCTTTCTGTTCCTAATTAAAGAGTATACTTATTCTGGCACTGATATGGGCCTTTCCAGGGACTAAAAGGAGATATATATTTTGTATCCAGACAGGCAACTCTATGGAAAAACACCTAAACTAACATTTACTCTGTTCACTGTTCGAGGTATCTTGTAAGCTGAAAACTAACCAAAGAATAAAACTCTTAAATATTTGTAAAAAATTCATAATCTAAAATACTATATTTAGTAGCAATTTTAAAAAACCAAACAAACATAGTATCATAGAATAATTTCGATTGAAAAGGATGGGTTGAAATCTCCACATTTTCCATGTCTTCTCTAATAGAAAACAGTATTGAGCACTGATTGTCATTAGACCTCTTTCAGAATTTCGGAGTAAATTTTGATGTGGAAATCAAGACCTTCAAATTTATATACAAATACATGAAGAAGTAGTCAACATTGACCAAGTTTCAATGTGGTCTCCCATGGAATTCCTCAGTCAAATTGAACAGATGTTGCCAGTGTGCCTTCTCAGCAGTGAAGGCTAAAAACATATGGAGCTGGAGCAACAGGAACTGAGCCAGCAAGACAATGGAAAGGGATTGTTTTTCTGCACTTGACACTTGTTGGATCATGCCTGGCATACTGAATGGCTTTTTGGATCCAAATAGAACACTGATACATCTGAGCAATTCCAGCAGAGGACCATCAAAATGTTCATGAGGTTGAAGCACACACCCTGTGCAAGAGACTAAGCTAGCTGGCTTGTTTAGCCTAAGGAGGCTTGGGGCTGGGGAGGAACCTAACAACACTTGTCAATATCTGAGAACAGGTTATCACAGGCTACCCAGAGAAGTTGTGGAATTTCCTGCCTTGGAAATTTTCAGGACTTGAATGCATAAAGCCTTGATAGGGATAGCCTTTCTTCATAACTGACCCTCCTTTGAGAAACAACCTGATGCTAGATTTCTTCTTCCTCAAGTCCCTTCCAACCTGAAGGGTGCTGAGATTCTTAGATATTGGAATGACTTTGGCAGAAAGCATGCATACAATATATATTCTTGAAACATTCAACTCCCTGCATTTCTAAGGCACATTTGAACACCAATAGCTCTTCTGTTTTTTTCAAACTCAGAATTTAGTTGCTATGGTAACATATTATGTCTTGGAGGCTCTCTCCAGTGATATTCCCATTTCTATAGACTAGAAGCAGCTACTACCTTATTTCAAAGGTTTATATATTTACCCTTTTGAAATAAATATATTCAATTGCACATTCGTGTTTCTGAAGTAAAAAGATACATACTTTAATTCCTAATTATTCACTTTAAAACCAAACCCATGGGTATAATGACTCATTTTCTGAGGGTAGCAGAATTCATGTCATTCTGTACTCATGGTGTACTGCCAGCCTAAAGCAAATTTTTTCCTATTAGGTGGGAGCATAAGATCAAGGGAGTTTTCAAACAAGCAAACAGCAGGAAAACAGGCAGTGAATACAGTTCCATCAGTTGTGGCAGACATTCTGTTAACAAAAATATTCTCTTACTTCTATTAAGATTAAATACTAAGACTTTTTGCTGTCATCTATTTTTATATTTCTGTACCAAACATAGATTTCCTGATGTTCAATAAGAGACCATTGTCCCCATCTTTAGCACTGTATAATACAGAACATGTTCCTGACCCTTGCCAAACCTGTAGATGCCTCAGAGCAAAACTTCCCCACTGCAAGGGGCAGCTTCCCTTCACTGCCTACTACCTGCAATAGACACAGCTGCAACTCAGAGCACTTGTTCTTCTAGGCAGTTCACAACAAGGGGAAAATGACGTGCTGCTAGCATTTCTGTCTCTAGAAAATGCAGGTAGTCTCCTATGTCAGAAGATACCCCAGACTATGATGTTTATTATTGTTATTTTTGTAAAGTAAGCTATTAATCTTGTTTGTACTATACATGCAGGGAAACTGACAAAGAAAGATGAGATTCTGAACCTGTAACTGTACAATTCAATACCACATAAATCACTAAATGCCTGTTAGTTTTGAATTATGTAATGTCTGGGGATTTTTTAAAATTTGATCTACACACTTGATGATTACACAGTTATCATTTCTTGGCAACGAGAAGTTTAACTCACCTAACACACTATTTAATAAAGAGACTTATTAAAAATTTTCTGCAAAAGAATAAACAATAGCATAGCATTTCTTATAGGAAAGTCAGGTTTTTTCACTAACTGGAAAAGATGGTACAATGCATCAATTGAAGGATAACAGAAGGCAGTAAGATATGAAGACAGAAAAACTGAGAAACTATGCATTTTAGTTAGTATATTCTTCTCTTAATCTTTCATATTGCCAAAGCCTTAACTGCTAATTAAGTTTAAAGTGACATGAAAATGATAGAATTACATTTTCATTTACTTATTTAAAGAAATCTGAGTACTGCTTGGTTTTCGATTTGAGATGCAATATTTAATAGAATATTAACAATACCCAACTCAAATCAGTGTGGAAAGTTGCCAGCCACACTTACTCGTTTCCCACAGTGAGAACAATGCTGGACTTGCATTATGCATAATATCTACCCAGCCTGCATACACACAAAACACTATTTTTGTTGAGTTAGAGATTTGCCTGGATGTCTGATGTCAAACTTTGTCTTCAAAGTTTTACAACCATCATAACAATGCCATAGGCCAAAACCAAACCACACAAAACAGAAATTGGCAGTTATAAAAGAGCTTTCAAGTCTCACTTGGCAGCTCCTAACAGGGGGAAGGCACTGAGCTCCTAGAAATACGTATCCATGTACACGGCCTCTGTTGCAAGCCAGTACTCACCTGGGATTTCAGACTTTCATCACTGGTACTCCAAACTTCAGAAATCTTTATTTTACTGTCACAGAGCATACAAATTAAGTCCCTGACTACATAGCCTAAATTTACATAGACCATGATGCCATTAAGACAAGGTCTTGCATGCCTGATTTTATGAAACAAACAACTCAGCTACTTACCATCAGAGAATCTGAAGTTGGCAAGAATATTTTTCTTTTCACCTGTGAAAAATACCCCTCTCCTATCTATTTCCTAAGTCTCTATATCAGCCAAAATAATGATCTTCACATGTATACACACATTTACAGTAGAAACAGCCCAATGAACTTCAGTCCAAATCTAAATACATTCATTAATCCAGCCTTGTAAATCAATATTCAGGTTGCTGTACCTCCATGTTTAAGTAAGAACTACCACTAATTGTATAGCAAAAAGGAAGCCTGGCTGACTTGACATGATGATTTTCTTCAAGAAAATTGTTTTCAGAATGAAGTGGATAAGAGTTACTTAACCATAAGTGAGACTGCAATTAAACTCTATTTAAAAATAAGTATATAACTTTAATAGTATAATTTGACTGTTACTACTATTATGCCTCTGAAAAGTAATATTTTCTGGAATTGCACTCTGCATATAATTCACACATTTAATTTTTAATATGCCTGTTTTACTGAAGTAAGAAGCCAAATGACAACTACTGAACTACCCCCCTAATTAATGTCATTTCCAAATGTCATACAATCTGAAGAAAATAACTGCTCAGCAAAAGTTTCACTGTGGCTCCTAATTTATAGAAAAACAAATCCTCTTACCGTATTGATCCAATCATGTAGGGCTGTGCCAGCTGCACTACAATAGCTCCACTCCCAAGCTGGTGGCATGTGTATCCAGAATCCCAATCATAGTTTTTTGTGTCTCCATTCAATAAGGCATTGCGACTGCGACTTACACCCTCAATCACACTGGCACAGTCTGCAATTGTTGCAACATTTTCAGTAGGAACTGTGAATTAAAAACACAAAGATGACAGACATACAGTCAGAAAACAATTCAGATGCCAATGGTTTTATTTCTGGAGAAGAGCTAGAAAAAAAAAAAGAGAGAAAATACGATCAACAGAAGGAAATGTAACTCACATAACATGAACTATGAACAAGTGATGAACAAGTAGTATAGATAGTTTTTATAGCACTGATTCCAGAATAGTTTGGTAAATTAACAGATGGATTTCAGTATTGGTGATACAAAAGTACTCTTTTAACACAATTGAGAAAAAGAAGCTTGTCCAGCAAAACACCAGAAATTTTGAAATAATTTCTTCCTGTTCTCATGACGAACCTCTCTCTACTAAAACATCCGAAAATGGCTGAAGCATAGCTATGAGAAATTTCAGAGCTAACTGTATGAGTCTTCAGCATGCAAAAAAGGAGATTATTTTCCATGAAGAGCTAGGATTCTTTGATTTCAGTGTGCTACTGGTGTCAGAAGCATAATCTTAAGAAAGCCACTAACCAGCCAAAATACCCTAAAAAAAATGGGGAAAAAACTGCAAGCTCATTGCCAAGTAGTAATCCAAGGCAGTGGGAAAGCAACCAGTTCTGGAAAAGCTACTGTGTTATCAAATGCACTATCATCTCTATCTGCTCATAAAAAATTACCAAAACCACCACTTTTCTATTCTAGAAATCTCCTGATTCCCCTACTACTGCAAAGAGGCACTCAACAATTCCCAGATTCTTATGGGGGAGCAGGTGTTAGACATTAGAAGTACTTCACTGGGAACAATCTGAATAAAGCAAAGGCTAAAAATGCAAACTAAGAGTACTGGCATTGAATTAAAATTTGCCTTGACTTCCTTTTCTTCCTCTCCTCCCTGGGAATAAGGGAACTTATTTGTTTATTCATTTTATATACGCTTTCAAGCATCTTCTACATAGAGCTGTTTCTTTTTAATAGGAAGAGGAAGCTATTGCAATCTTGGTAAAAAACAAAATGACTAAAAGATAGAGTCAAAATCAATGCTCATGTTGAGGCTCCATGGCACATTCCAGACACACTCCAAGCTATCTAAGTGATTAATTGAATGCAGTGCAGCTCAGTTCATGCAATACTATACCTGCATGCCCTCTGAGCATCATCCTGCTCCTTCTCATGTTTAGATTTCTGCACTAATCCATGACCCTGCTAAGCAGATGTCACCCTGTTTACTTAAATTCCTTAAAAACCATACAGAAACTGTCTTGGTCTGTTTTTCATATAATTCTGTGGTCTTCCCTACAACAGCTAATTAGAAAGTGACTGACTAATTGAAATGCACAGAATGTGCCATCCTGTTCCTTTTCTCTAGGGGGTCTGCCACTCCCTATTTTGAATGTTCATTATCATCTTTTATATATGCTTGATAAATTTATTAAAAGTACCATCTGGTGGGGACTCTCTTCTGTGCTGGATTTTCAAGTCTTTTGGTTGTCTTCCTTTTTCCCATTAGAATTTATGCTTCAATTTAGGCCACTTATTTACAAATACAAACTGTCAAAACCCACAGTCTTGTTTCTATTTTTGTTTGTTTGTTTTTTTTTTTTTAATCCACCAGCTATCCAGCTCTTACAGTAACCAATATTGTCAGAGAAAACAGAAGATTACAAATACAAAAATTGTTGTACTGTTCATACAGCAGTTTTGGGCTGAAAAGTCTGATTTGCTTTTATGGAACAGAAAATACGTGTGTTAGCAAAGCAAACACATTCTGTAAGCATACAAAAGGAGAAGATGATTGAGGTTACAGGACAGTGGCATCAAACATTTATTAAAACTTACTTTCTTGCCTCCTTGTCTTATGCTGCAGTATGGAGCGATGAAAAACTGGGCAGTATATTTAATTCTAGCAACAGTATTTTTATAAAGGATTTTCAATTTTCAAGAGATGGCCTAAGGGTCATCTATACTGACTATATTTAAAGAAAAGACAGATATGTTAGTCAAATGTTCTTAGAGATCTTCCAAGAAAAGATGTACCAGAAGTGTGTTGTAGCCTCCATCATATTTACGTATCACTCCCTAAGCTTGTTTCTCTTACTTTGTCTTTTTAGCATACTTGATTTTTCATAAAATTATTTTTTTTCCCTGAAGCACTCTGAAAAAAATACTTTTTTGCTTTCTATCCACCCACTGTGACTTCACTAAAATGTGGGTGGAGAAATGAAAGAAAATCCTCAAATGATTTTATGCAACACAGGAGGGACCAGAACAAAGTGGGTGTATGTAGTGGTTCACAAAACTAGCCATTAATAAACCTCAAATAAATTATGAAAATAAGCACAGAGGGAGACAGTAGGTCTACTACATAGTCTTATTTTGTAGGAAAGCAGCAATTTAAAGCATTATGGACAGTTGAAGGTATTTCTACTGCACTCTAGGCAATAGTCAAAAGTTCTCTGCCCATGCGAAATCACTGCAACTGGTCATTTTAGTAAATTCTCTTAAGATACTTAAACAACCATTGTGAAGAAACTATAAACAAGAAATTACACCAGAAGAAACAAATTTTTGTTTTAGTCAATATGAAGGAGTGATTTTCCTCTCATGATTACATCTGTTAAATGTTCATCTTCTAATCACTCAATTTTTAACTATAAAATTGCATTCCTTTTCTACTTGAGCATCTATTAAAAAGTTTCCTTCCTGGCTGGTTGGAAAATAGAAAGCTGAGACTAAAGAAAAGGAGAATTAAGGATGCAAGAATTATTTCAGAGTTTGATTATACTGTATTAAAGAATTAAAGGGTATTAGACATTTTGCTCTCATTATTTTCCACAGGACAAAAGATTTGTTAAGTTTAATCTTTATTCAATATATGAATTAGCCCTTGTTTATTTGCTACATGGTAGAAAAATATGCAATCTACAGAATTTTCAGTTAATTAAAAGTACAGCCATATGTTGTGTCTTTCATTCCACATACTCTTTCTTATTTTCTTGAGTTAAAACTTGCTGATGAAATTACTACATTTAATTTAAATCTTCAATCACATTATTCAAAGAAATCAAGACCTCAAAAAATATAAACTTCAAACAAATATCAACAGTATTTTCACCTGTTTCAGTGAAAAGCTTTCTGCAAGCCATATTTAGCTGGAAAAGAAAACCCCACTAATATGTGTTTTTGTCCAACTGTCAGAAATTGTGCTAGAAAAACTTCAGAGAAGGCTGATTTTTCACTTGATACATGCTACAGCTCATGATTCCTAATCCAACAAATTAGAACAAAACCATTCAAGCCACTGGAACTGGTCATATTTTTCATTGCAAACTAATTGGCTGCTACAGGGCTCTTTCATTAAACATTATGTCTGCAGAAGGCTTTCAGAAATATCGGTTGTTTTAGGAAGTGTGCATCCTTCCTTGTGGCACTGGAAACAGATAAAAGGATAAAAAAAGAACTGGAACCATATGAACAGATCTCTCTTGAAACCAACAATGTGGTTGCCCTTTCTTGCAGAAAGGGGGAAAAAAAAAAAATCCCTGCAGTATTTAGATTTTCTTCAACTTTTCATAATTTCCTAAAGCTATGGCTGCAGCAGAGCTGACTTATATTGCTGGGTAAGCCTGCATTGTTTTCTCTTTTTAAAAGAGAAAAAACAAAATATGATAGCTTTGCTTGGAGTCAACATTAAACTAGACAAAAACCAGCATGTCTCACTGCTTCCTTGGAGAGAGACAAAGCAATCTTTTACAAAGCTGAACCACACACTAGGAAACTGATATGACTGATATCTCCCTGTTACACATTCAGTTTTGTTTGTTCTTTTTCTTTTTCTAAATAACTTGCAGAGTAAAAGACAAGTGAATATTTATTTGTATCATTTTATCCCTTTTAAAATAAGTTCTCCTAAGGCACTGAACAGCACACAAATGAAGGTTCACGATGATTCCCAAGTACTGAACAGCATTCCCCAGAGGGTGACCAAGGACATTCCAGTGTTTTACATCCATCTTCTGCTCTTCAGGCATTATTCACTGTTCTCTCTTTCATGTGTAATGTACAAGTTACAAGACAGTCTGACAGACTGAGATAGACTACAGACCAACAAGACTTTGTAGAAAAGCCATCCACACTGCACTCCCAATGACCTTCACCAGGCTCAAAATTAGACAGAAGGTTGGTCAAGCCCACATCCTTGACTGCCCCTCAGCACTGAGCAGTGATTAAAGGACTGAGGTTATCAATTTTTTTCCGTTTGAGGCAGAAAAGAGGAATTTTTTCCTCTATTAAGGTGGGGAAAAACTCCCAGAAACCTAAAGGGGCCTTGCACAGAAGCAACTGCTGTTGTAACTTCTTGACACTGGGCAGACTAGAACATTTTACAATACATCACATGACACCAGGTACCACTTCCAAAGGAGTATATCTCTTACCTTTGAAAATATTCTTTTGTTTTTGATTCTAGATTAAATATTAATGGCTAAAGAACAGTCAAAATTTCATAAGCATAAGTTCATTATAAGCAAGCAGTATGATTGTGAGATTAAAGAATATTTGCATCCTTGTTAAATGAGAGTTATGTTAGTATCATGAATTTAATATGTAAAACTCTTAACTTACACATTTAGTGATAATAGTATGCCAAAAAGAAAAATACATCTTAGCTCTAACATATGGGTTAGGGAAATAATTTAATATGATTAAATTCCTTTCTGTCACCTCATTTCACAAGACAACAAACTGTAAACCAACACTTAAACATCAGAGAGTGCTATAAAGAGCATTTTCTGCTACTTTTGCTCCAAAACTGCTACTCAGCTACCATTGGGTCATGTCAGTACCACATTCAGTATTGTACGAAGTAACTGCATAAATCATCTTCCATATTAACTTTTAATTGTAATATGTCAAGTTAGTAACTTTTCATTAAAACCTTGTATGCAAAACCACAAGAAAATAAAATTGTTATCATGACAGAGTACTTAATTTTTATTATTTATCAGCCTTCTAATCTTCACTGTACGGTGACAGCCATTGCACAGATAATATGTATCAGATCAAGTTGAGTATCTTTCACAACAATTAAATAAATAATTGCTCAAGTCTCTAAATAATATCTCTAACCAAATATCTCAGAGGCCTCATTTCTTTGGAATGAGTTTTCAAATGAAAAAAATATTCACATCTAATCTTAGCACATCTAGTATTGTGTTGCTTTGGTAGAAGTAGGGGTCAAAAAGTCTTTCTGAAAGGACCTTATAGTCTTCAAGGGCCGACCAATACTTCATTTTTTTAATAAAACAGGGTATAGAAACAACAGCTGTGTTTGCTCTAACTGAATTTAATATTGTATTTAATATCATATAGGATAAACAATGAACATAATGAACTGCTTTTCAAGGGTTCAAGATGAAAGTTTTTCTACTAAGTCAAGATTAAAAGCAATCTACTCTGATTACTGCATTTTCATATATTTAATTTATTTTTTCTAACTGCTTTCAATCCACTTTGTCTTATCTGGTCACTTCGGAAACAGGAAAAACATTACAAATCCTCATCAGAGCAATAAAATAAATCTGTGCCAATCCACTGGTACTCATACTGAGTTTTTACACAAGTGGACCTTGGACTGACAGTCTGCTTGATCACAGGAGTCATACAATGTGGCACCTTATGGTAATCATTACACTTAAAAAAACATTAAATAGATATAATATCTTCTAGATGGATCAAAGATGCTGAGAATATTTTTGAATAGACAATACCGGTGGCCAAAAATTCTGATGGAACAGCCATAGGTGCCCCTGCTCCATTTCACAACTGGACTAGCATCAAGTAGTACCCAAATCTTTCCATTTTTATCTTTCTCATCATAAACTCTGCAGGATCATGTATACAACTGCTGGTACCTCATTGACAGTTGGAAGACTAGCCACATCCCACTTTCAATTAACTACTCCCCAAACTCTTACTTTTAATTTTCTATGAATTGTATTGACTAACATCTCTTAAATATAAAAAGCTGTGGAGACCTACAGGCCCCTCTTTCTTTACTGTTGACTTACTGTAACTTCAAATGAGTGACACATACAACAGCTTGACTGATCCACACTGAACAACAGCAAAGTTGCCATGGATTAACAATCATCATTAACACCAGAAACCCTCACTATTATGCTGCCCAAACCCTATTCAACTCTAAGATTCTACAAAAACATTCTCACAAACTGAGAATTTTTAATAAAGCCATATAAAGTCTCCATCCCATAGATTATCTTTGAAACTTAAAAAATCTTAAAATAGATGAGTTTGTCTCACCAGAATGATCACTCAACCAGAAAAAATGATTGAGTCTATGAAAGATGAGTCACTTAGAGTAAAAGTTCACTTACACAAACATGCACAGAATCACTGCCTTGCCTACTTATGATCAAACAATCTTTGTGCTAACACTCAAAACCAAAATTATTTAAGTCCCAAATTCATCATTTACTAAAGAAGTTTGATCATCTGATATAAAATATGTGCAAATATTTGTACACACTAACAGATTTTTTATGAAGTTTCTAAAAATTCATAGCCAGAAGTGCTAACCATGAAATTTAACTCAAAGGTCTTATCAAATCTGATACTTTGTTTCTCTGCCAACTAGCTTACTGAAGGGAGATGTTTTCTTTTAACACAGTTCTTCCTTACTGCTTACTTTATTCGGTAGTCAATGGCAATTGCAATACTACTTGCACACTACCAAAAACAAAGGAAAGGCTTTTGATTTGCCTTTGTATAATGCACGGGGAACAGGCTGAAGGAACTGGGTCTTGGTTTTTCATGGCTAAATACTATAGTTTTCTCAGAAAAAAAATTAAAGTGAATGTGTCTTACTAAAAATTTTCCTCTCATACTATTTCAAAAACTGTTTTCCCTTCCATCTGTCATGGGTAGATATTTAAAATTTAAATATTTGTTTAAAATCAACATGAACTCTGAGAATTTTGCTGAAATTCTTTATTTTAAGCCATAAGTAATGAACTGTGGGAAATCCCACCTAGACAACTACTAAATACCCTTTCTCCAATGAACTTCAGGATCTGACTTCTCAGTTTATATGGAAGAAACCACAGAAACCACCCTGTTTGAACTATTAAAAAAAAAAAAATCGATATTAAGTCTGTGACACATTTTGTCATTCAATACCATTGGTCTGTTGGGGATTTCCACCTTAAGTAACATAAAGGTACTTAAATCAGTATTACATAAAGCTGCCCAGCTAAGAGAGCTCCATCAGCGTGGTGTTCTGAGAATAATAGCAGCACAGCTGATACAATGTTCTGCCTTGGCTAAGCATGTCTATGACTCTTTGGGGGGAAATCAACACATGAGAGTTTACTTTCAGCAGTTGTAACCAGGCTGTGTAAGAGGCCCTAAATGTCCAAATCCATCATCACTACAATAAATAGCTGTGGTTAGTCCATTCTTGTAAGAGAATTCAGGGTAACCTACTGGGAGACATGAGCAACCATACTATGACATGCAAAGAAAAATCACATTGCCAGCCCTGACTGACTCAGCTACCAGTGGCTTTGTCAGCAGTGGTTGATTTGAATTTCAGCATTCCTGCAGCATCATTAACTAATCCACAGTACTGGAATTTCATAGAAGCTGTAAGGACTAGCCAACTAATTCTATGCTTACAACACTCTTTAACCCAATTTAGAGATTTCTGGATGGAAACAGAAGTAGAGTGCAATAATGGCCAGCTTTAAAAGACAAGTGTTTAAAACAGTTCATGAAAAAGGAAAATTGTTCTATCTCTTACCTATCAGACCTTTCTCAAGAGTAAAGGATTTGTTCGTGAACATGCATTCAAATGCCACAATATGGAAAACTTTGTTCACTGTGTTGTGGGTCCCAACAATTCGAATATACCTATAGGGAAACAAAAAAAGTAAACAGCACAAGTTAAACATGACCACCTTCTGTGCTCTTAAATATAATTGATTCAATTAGACTACAATGTGCAGACCCATAAGAACTGAATAACTGTTTAAAAAAAAAAAGAAAAAGGAGTAAAAAAGAATATCAATTTCATAGCAGATTTTGCATCTAGTCAGGATACTGGTTCCAGTGCAATTTAAGAAGAAAGAAAAACATTTAAAGAGAAGTGGAACCTGTTAAAAATGTTTCTGGATTATTTTGCCAAGAAAAGCAAAATTAAGGATCTTCTGTTTCAGAAATGATCTGTTAGTGCAAATATGTGCTCATAGCGGTTTTAAATAATAATAATAGTAATAATAATAAGAACAAGAACAACAGTAATAATAATCATCCTTTTACTAAGAGATTTTCAGCATTGTGAAAGATTTCATACAGCCAGGACAAACCCAAAAGATGACTCAGTCTTTTCTTCAAAAGTCAAAAAATTAATTCCATTTTATTAAGACTGTTTCTAATTCTAACACTGGATGTACAGGATATCAATCTCTGTTGGTGTATCTTTTATTAATAATGAAAAAAACCTCTCATTCAAGTATTATGAAACAAAGCTACTCTGAGTTTCATTCTTGGTGGTATAATTTATATTTCTACACTCCAATTGCAAATCAAATAGAGCTGCTCTCAAACATTGTGACCTATTCACATGCTGCATTACTCAGGAGGCTTCACCTTCCATAAACAACCACTAACCTTGATTCAGTCTGATTCTGCATTTTCTGAAGAGATACAACAGTTCTTACTATAAATTTTGAGAAACCTCAAAAGGACTGTTGTATACCTCTCAATAAATGCTGAACAAGCAACCAGAAAACTACTAAACCAAATAACGAATTACTCACAAGATGGGCTACCCACACTTGCAGAAAGCACTGTATGAATTTAACTCATTTAAATTAACAACTATCAGAATGTATGAATCTTAAGCAATATCCTTGGTCTTTCATTTACATGGTATAATTATATTTCTAACTTAATGGCCATTCACCCACAGCATCATTTTGGCTTGTGTTCTTCATCAGATCAAGTTGAGAAGACACACGGTATCTTTCCTGGGATTTTCTTTTTAAACAATAAAACAACCATCATAGCTATTTACTGTGCTAATGCTCAACCTCCAAATTTAATTTAGAAATTATTTTAATAATCATAACTTGGCACAAAGAATGATATGCTATTGCCTAATTAATGTTTACTCACAGATCAATCAATTAGCACAGTAGCCATTGTCTTGAAAGTCATTTTATGTAGAAAAAATAAAGTTGCAAAAGTGGAGAAAATATTTATTATTTATAAAGAAGACGAATCTGTGTTTTAAGAATAAAGCAGAACTTAGCCCTTACTCTGTAGCTGTATCAAGTGCCTGCAAAGAGCATCACAGGAATCTTGGTTGACAGGCAAACAGGAGGTGATTCCCCAGACCTGCCAGTGTGAACCAGCTGACTTTCTTTTTATGAACTCACAACCACAGTTTGAATGCTAAACCCACAGATAATGTCCAAAATTTGACAATGGTGACTGATCTTGTTCCCTCCAGCCTCAGAAGCACAGAATTCTATTAAACACAGGAGAAATTTTGGAATATTTTGAAGTGCACATGGAGGCTGGCTTGCTATAGAGACTCTCTTGTCTCTCCTAGGCAAGAAGGTATTGATTGAGTTGTGCTGCTTGGACAAAATGCACCAGGCAAACCAACAGAGTGTTACTAATGGAGATGTACTTTGACATCCTTCAGTTATGCTTCCTTGCATTAAAGAGCTTAGAGAATAAACAAAGTAACAAGATTAATAGGAACACAAGAAACTGCTTCATAATTAGCTTTAAAAGCTAATTTACTTAGATTTTTTGAGTTATAAAATTGCATAATTAGAGCAAACTTCTTGATCATTTGTCAGAGCAACTAGAAGTTGCTCCAATTCCTTTCAGCAACAAAGCAGGTTCATATGACACAAAGTTATCTATGAATCTTTGTGTGATTGCAGACTAAAAGAATCACAATCCAATGCCTACACTAGCTCCACTGTCAATGGACTTTAGACTCAACTGGTAAGACTGCAAGATAGAAAAACCCCTAAATCATTCTTCAAATTAAAAAAACCTTGATCAATTTGTGGGGTTTAAATTAACTTCCCCAGCAGGTAAACAGGAATGCAACATGAAAATTTTGCCCCTTACTTTTATTTTCTGTCCCTTTTTGAGAATAATGGATACTGATAATATATAAGTGCTCTACGAGTTACAGACTTGTCTAGTCACAGAGTCAAGCTATACAAGACCCTAAAATTCTCACAACAGGAATATCAGAAAAATATGGTTGGTAGGTTTTTTTCTTCACTACCAAGAAAATTGTTCTGACTATAGGGAAACAGCATGTTCTACTGAATCTTGGTAGAATTTTAAACTACTAAAATTTGAATGGACTACCTGGGTTGATTAATCAGGCACCTACATTGCAACATCTCTCATTCATCCCCCACTTTTCCCAGAGCAATTCTTCTCCTTTATATGACATTATGATATTGGTACTCTGTTGTGACTACATATCTGAACAACTAAATTATGTTTTACTTCTGCACTTTACATTTGTAAAGCTGACACATATAATTCAGACAACAGCTGCTGCACATCACACCACTGATTCTGCTGTGCATACCCTTGAGGACTACAAACACCAAAGCTCAGCTGCCTATATAATCACAACAGTGCTTAGGACATATGTCTCAAAGCAAGAAAATATGCATACTCTAGGAGTCATTTTAATCCTTCATTATAATAACAGCAGAAAGACACAGACAAACTCTAAAATGCATTAAGCACAAATTCCAATCCCTTGAGAATATTGAGACAGAAGACTGAATAAAGGGAGAGAATGGAAATTAACAGGTATTTTGTACTGATATCCACTCTTCAGTTACACTCAAAGCAACTTAGAATAGCAACAGCAAACTCAAAGAACTAAATTTAATATGTAAAAAATGCTCTCTTATGAAATTGGCATTTCATTTTCCTTTGTGGAGCATTTGGTATGAGAGACCAGTGCCAGAATTACTGTATACTTTATACCTGCTCTAACTGCTTAGAACCACTAACATTCACATTCTAATAACCACCACAAAGATACACCATGCACAGCTCAACACACAAGGGCATTAGAAGACATTGTGTTTGTTTTTTAGTGGAAAAGGAAACAGTGTTATTCGACACCATCTAAACTCCATTTATTGACAACTCCCTAAAAGGAATAATCCTTCAGACTCACACAGCTGAATCAACAGACCTGTGGCAGGAAGATAGAAAAAACAAGGAAGAAAAATCTATTGCCAGCATTAAATTGTGGGAGAACAGTGGACATAAATAAATACATAAAATAAAGAATTAAGCCAGAACAAACATGAAAAGCATATCTGTCTTTTGACAGAAGACAAGTTTTCCTGCACTTAGACAGGAATGTCTAATCAAGTCTATTTTATACCAAAGGAAATCCCTGCTGCAAATATGGAAAACAATGGTGAAAAATCAAATAAAACACTTACAAAAGACAAAATCATTGAACTCCAGTAGGAAAAGTACATCTAATACCACCAAAATCCTGCACAGTAACAAACATTTTCACCTTGGAAATACAACTGATAGTAAAGCAGCTTGAAAACACAACACATTTCACTTTGTAATGTGCCAGAATGTGTATGCAGGTATTTTATGTGGGGGCATTCAAGTGACTAAAAATATTGGTATACAGCACTTAAACAGGACATGTAATTGTTTGTGTACCACATGTAAGCAGTATGTAAACCAATCAACCAATGTTTCTCAAAGGATATAACCAAATTAACACTAATGTGCTTTGGAACATAAGTAGCATTTACATAATATGATAATATGTTGTGCATTCCATACATAATAACCTGTAAGAATAATAAGTTTACAAATGCTTTGTTCTTTTCTAATGGCTTCCAATTTTTATTTCTTTAAAACAGAAAATAAACAATTTCAGATAAACTTGCTTTAATCTCCATCTTTACTCTCTAAGCAGCTCTAGTTCCAATGAAGTTCTTAAATCTGAACTTGGTTCACCTGGTTTTATTTCAAGTCATACCTCAACCCAAAACAGCTCAATTTCCTAGAACCTGTCTGGATATGAGCAGAAATCTCCAATTAACCTGATCTCATAATGGACTTCCACTATAAGAATACAAAATAAAATACGAGAAGATATTAAGACCTGGATGTCATGAAATCTGTACTTCAACCACATTCCTGATTTGACTTTGGAGCTAAGCACAACTTAAATATCACCCTCACTTATCTTTATGCCATCTCTACTGAATACATAAAATGAGACTCTAATAAATTCAACTATATAGAAAAAAAAGTAGTTTTTTAATAGAGAAGAAAGCATTGCTCTTCAGAAAGTCTAATTCTAAACCAAACTGGACAGCGAGATTCAAAGAACAGACACGAGCTGGCTCTGCACATCTTTCCCGGCTGGGGTGACATGAAGCCAGACTCTTTTCAAAGTGAACCCCATCTTCCACAGGACTCATTTTATTTGAATCACACTACATCCTCATGAGGTTTTATGACTTAGGATCAATTTAGCTTCATTATATAGATGCACTGTAGTCTCCACATTTTTAAACATATTGAACAAAACATAAGAAAATACAGGAAAGTGCTGTTCAGTGAAATTGGAGAATGTTTGCCATTTTCCCCAGCTTCTCATGCTCTGTGAATTTAGCATGCAATACTTATTTCTTGCTCCAATGACACTTCAGTACGTGCTGTCTATATTTAGACTAAAATCTGACCATAAACAATATGATAAAGAAATACCTGAAAAGTATTAGAAAAAAGTGAGGTATGATGGAAGGACAGAAGGAAGGAAAAGAAAGATTGATTTCAATCTGCATCAAGATAGCTCAACAAAGAAATAA